TCTCTCTCTCGTCCACCTTCTTCCTTCGCACATCCTCCGAGTCTCCTCCGTCTCTTCCATTCGCCGACCTCGCGCGCCTCCGACGTCCGCTCGCTCTCTTTCGCGTGCTCGCGCGGCACCCCGCGCCCTGTCTCGCGCGTTGAATTTACCGCTTCGGGCCGCGGCGATAAGTCGAGCCGCGCCGTGCCGTAAGTCGTACGTTTCCTCCGCATTCTACCGGCCGGCCGGCCGGCAAAGAGGACCCTTCTGCATTCCCCGTCGCGCGGGGGATTCCTCTTTCTTTCTCGCCCGACGCACTCGCCAGACGTCAGGAGCTGGGCGACCTACGCGGCCTGACCTTCATTGTTGTTGGCGGAGGATTGCCGGCCACGGCAGTGCTTCCGTTATTGGTCGCCTCGCACTTCTCGTTTCTTCTTGAAAATTCCCTACAGTCGGTTTCGCGTCGGCCATGCCTCATGACTACACAGTAAATTACATATCTTACCGAGTCTACGACACAGTAGAGAAGTAACTCTTTATCGTTCGTTCATTAATCACAGTCGAGTCTAACGGAGTCTACAGACCGGCGACACACCGCGAACCTCCTCCGGACGGACTGCGAATGCGAATTACTCCGCGTTGCTGCAGCGCGACATCAGCTTCCAACAAGCGCTCGCCAGTGTTTTCCCTCGGTAGAAACCTAACTCGGCTCGTGCAAACTCTCGCTCGACTAATTAGGACGCGAGATGTAACACGCTCATTCCGAGCATGCGGGAATATACCCGACGCGACGGATCGCGCGACAGTTTGAGTTCTCCCACCGAGCCGCGTGGCCGCTGAAACGAAGAGACTGTCGCGATCGTAAAGATCGCGCGCTTTAGCCGCTCGCGGCTTATGACCATTCCTCATGGGATTCTCGCTCTCTCTCTCTCTCTCTCTTTCTCTCTCTCTCCCTCTCTCTCCCTCTCTCTCCCTCTCTCTCGCGCGTCTCGCTCTCGGCAAGAAATTAGCGGGAACATCGGGATCAGCGGGATGACAGTGCGCTCCTTCTCTCTCGCGAGCACGCAGCAAAGTCGCCGCGCTCGCGGGAAATGAATTCCAGCGGATTTATCGCGGCGAAACTCGACGCCATGACCACGACGACGACGACGACGACGACGACGATGCCCTCGGCAATTAAGAGACGTGATTTAGGAGCCTGTGTGGTGTCTCTTTCTCCGCGTGCAGGCAAGAGAGAGAGAGAGAGAGAGAGTCCGTATGACTGTGCTTCGCATCGCGATATAACGTGAGAGCGCGACGCGGTGGTATGCACCTTACGCCATCCTCTTCCTCCTCTTGCGTTCCGTTCGTTTCTATGAACGACGCGCGCGCGCGCGCGCATACGCGTGCGAATGCACCGCACAACCGCGGAAAACGGGCGTGTATGACGCGCGAGTACGTCAGTGAATGAACGCGCATGAACGAACATCGCCGCGTACCTACTGTGTGCTCTCGGCTCGGCTACGCGCGAGCGCGGGCGCACCGAAGCGGTTCGAATTCGCGAGGAAGCGAATTCTCTCTCTCTCTCTTTCTCTCTCTCTCTCTCTCTCTCTCTCTCTCTCTCTCTCTCTCTGTCTCTCTCTCTCCCTCTCCCGCTCTGCCTTTTCTTCCTTCCCTCTCGTCGGGCTCGCTCAGTGATACTCGCAATTTACGCCGTCAATTTTCGTCGTCGTCCTTTTGCGTCCGCGAGCATTTGGCGAAATCACCGAAATCACCGAAATCGGCGAGTCGCTCCTTCGCCACATTGTTGCAATTTGCGGTAATGATCACTCGCGCGGCAGCGCGAGTTCCCGTTGGCAGCCGATGTCGGAAATTATACGCTGCGCTGCGTGTTGCGTGCACGGAAAGAACAATGTGCGACTCGCGCGTGTTATTACATCGGCAGCAGCCGATAACTCGTACGGACTCGTACGTAAAAAGAGCGGACTAAGAGAGGGAGAGGGAGAAACCATAGGGGAGAAGCTTCAAGAGGTTGGTTAGAGGAAAGGGACAGTAGGCGCGTGCATGCTTAAATTAAGAGCGGTGCTTCTCGCCGCCGAGGAAGCGGTAATCGAATCCGCTTCCTGCCGCGGAAGTATCTATCGCGAGACCGCGCTCGCGAGATGAGATCCGGTATGCGGCGAGAGAGCATACATGGCACACTAGCCTACAAATCGCACGCGCGCGGGAGGAAAGTACTCGCGCCGAGCACTCCTCGGGAAATACGCCGGAATCCATCGTCGCGCCGTACCGCGGGCCGATACTCATCGTCGGATCTCGCACTTAGCATCGCCTTGTGAGATTTCGTTGATTCGCGGTGCTGCTGCGATGCGAGTCGTCTCTCTGCTGCGGTCGATTGCATCCGTCCGCGCGGACCGCGCGTATAATCGAACGTCTCTCACGGATGACAAAGGAACGTACGTTTTGATGAAACGTCAACGACAGTTTCAGGTCTTCGTCTGAGTCTTTCAGACTCAAAAGCCAACGTTGGACGTTTGATCGACCTCCGACGGAGGGAACGAGCACATAGTCTCTCGTTCATAGTCGATTATTTCTGGATCGTGAGGACAATAATTTGCCCGGCTCGCGCGCGCGTCTCGTTGCGCGAAACCACGGCGCCGAGACACCGCCCCACCGTAGCGAATCCAATTTGACGCACCCCAGTGCGTCGTGAATTTCCAATTCACGACGCAGCGATTGGTGGCTTCGTGCTCAATCGATTAGCGGGAAAATCGATTTCTCCGCCGAGCGCGCCGAGCGTGTCGTCGCGCGCGACATGTGCGCGTCCACGAGGTGAGCGCGATCGCTGCGCTGCGCTGTGTTGCGCTGCGCTGCGCTGCGCGCTCGGCTGTCTCTCCGGAGCGTGTCTCGCACGAGTCAATGCGCAGGAATTTCAAGCGCGTTCATCGAGCCTCGTTATTACCCCCGGGGAGAGAGCGGAGGGAGGGCAAGCCGTAGTCGATAAATCCGCGCTGGCCGCGTGAGCGCGCCCGCATTGTATTTCGAGTGAGCGTAATTTCGATATTTCCGGCGTTACGCGAGCACTTATTAGCGGCCCAGCTACGTACTTGAAGCGCGTACGCGCGATACACGTACTTTCGCTCGCGTTGCGATATCGCTTCAACATTTTACAACACCACCCACATGGCAGCGCTGCCGAGCTGCGCGTGCGCGCGCAGGCACGCGGTATTGCGTGCCGGATTTCTTGCAATTAGAAGCCACCGCTCCTACAAAGTTGGAAACGCAGGGTCGCGTGGGCAAAAATCGCCAGTTTCAGATGCACGCAGGCCAGTCGATTCCAGGAGGTTTCGCCGCCGCCGCCGCGCACGTAAGGCTGCACAATTTTACCGTTCTCGCGAGACAACGAGAGGCAATCCGCAAGGCTCCCTCGCGGCTTCTTTCTCTCCCTCCTTCTTCTGCTCCTCTCGTGACGCAAAGTGCCATGGAAAAACGACGCTCGCGGAAACGTTGCCATCGTGAGACAGCAGCACGAAGGCGAGTCGAAGGTTTCGTGCCGTGTAACGTCGTCGTCGTCGTCGTCGTCGTCGTCGTCGTCGTCGATGTTGCTCTTGGCAGCCCGGAAGTAACTTTGTTGCGGAAGAACGATCCTCGCGAGAGAGCGAGCCAGCCGTGCGTTTCCATTTGGAATCGCGCCGCGGAAATTTTCGGCACCTTCACCGACGCGGGAAGAGAGAGAGAGAGAGAGAGAGAGAGAGAGAGAGAGAGAGAGAGAGAGAGAGAGAGAGAGAGAGAGAGACGCACGTCTCCGGACTGGCATTTTGAAATTTCTGATTAATCCGCGACGGATGAAAAGAAACGGACGAATGGAACACTCTCGCGCGCCTTTCCGGTGATATCTCTCGCGCCGGGGATACCGACACGGCTTCTATTTGACTTTTTAGCATCCGTGTTCTTCGTTAAAAGCTGTCATCATTCACGCGCCCCGGAGACCCCTGACTCGGAAATAGCGTTATCTATCAGTCTCATCAATCACCGTCGCTGAGAGTGCGCCTCTATTAACGCGACTCATTACTCCTCTGTCGCCCGACAGTTAGCCGCGCGCGCGTACCTGCGTCTCTAAACTCGCCCAAAGGTTAAATAATCGGCGGTAAGAAGTTTCCCTCTCGGATTTTATCTGCCAGCCGAGACACGCCTAGCGGCTGATCTTACAAGCTCGTACTTATTAGCAGATAATGTAATTCTTCCTGCGAACAGGGCGAGATTAGCGCGATGCCGCCGGTACGTCTGTGTTAACAGTGATTATTTACTCGCTCGTATATCCTATCGTTCCTATCGTGTCGTCGGCGAGTCTCCGCGAAAAATGTAGCGCGTTGGCATTTCTGCAAACACACGGGGAGAGAGAGAGAGAGAGAGAGAGAGAGAGAGAGAGAGAGAGAGAGAGAGAGAGAGAGAGAGAATCTTCCCGGGAAACGTCAACATTCGTACGCTGGAAAAGTGCTACACTGGCTTGTCTCGCTAGCGAGTAGCACACTTTTCAGTATTATTATTATTCAGAAGACGGCGTGACAAACTATCTTGAGAAATTGTAAATTTTCATATTGAGACTTTAAGCCCAACGATATCTGAATAACATGTAAACTCGGACTTGGGTGTGAATATATATCCCGGTTACGCGATTTACAGTGCGGCATTAAAATGATCCGGTAAAGAAAATTCCGCCGTGCAGGAATAATCCTCGAGTGGCGTCGAGTGACGTCAGAACCGCAGGAGAGACCGCAGCCTCGGATCAGGATCCGCGGCTCGGTCGGAAACCAAATCGACACCGAGGATCCGATCCGGTAGTATTGCGATTGCATACAGACGGAACTGACGGAATTGATGAAACGTTAGCGTCGCGTTTAATTTGCATGCGCAAAACGCTTCTTCCCGGCCACGGTTCCGTTATACTTGCGCTCTTATAATCGCTTAATCCATTTTGCGCGCGCGGCCGTCTCTAATCTCGGCGATTTCATCTCACCGCTTTTAATTTTCTGCCCACTTAGGTGTATCCCGGATGGCGGGGACGTCGGTTACACGATGACGGAGCTGCAACCGTCGCCGCCAGGATATCGCGTCCAGGATGAGGCCCCAGGCCCAGCTTCCTGTCCCCCGGGGTCCTACAAGTACGCGAGCCACGGCCACGGGAGCGAGACTGCCAATTTCAAGAGTGCCACGTCGTATTCTCAGGAAGGCTATGGCCTTAAGCAGAGTCCGCCTCGACCGGTGGCTCCTAACGAATACTATCGTCGCAGAAGCGACGGACGCAGAACCTCCGGCGCGGAGAACGATCACGAGGGTGGTAGCGGCGGTGGCGGCGGCAAGAAGACTGCAGCCGCGGTTGCCGGTTACAACGACGGTCACAAGAAGAATACTCCGGGCTATAAGAACGACAGCGGGTACGTCATTCGCTCTCACGCAAGCTCTTCCCTTGGTCTTTAAAGAGCTCTCTCTCTCTCTCTCTTTTTGTTCTTTCCTCCGTTTGTAAATTGTACGACTTCGCTATAGGGAGGAGGGGGAGGAGGGGTGCACCGATGGGATCGAGCGCCAATAGTGAAATATCGCATTTTACCTAGTAGTAGATCCTCGTACGATCCTTGAATCGCGTTGGACGTTTCATTTCGTATCCTTTTGCACCCGAGGGGATTTGTCGCAAAGCGCGGAACAAATGCATCTATTTATTCACACGCACTTAACCGTCCATTTAGCCGAGAGAATAATCCAACGATCCTGGTTCTCTTTCGTCGCAAGCGCCGAGAAACTTTCCGCGCGACAAAGCGACAGAGGGAACACCGGCGCGATTACGCGTCGACTCTGCCACGTGAATTACGGCCGTTTGCATACATCCCGGTGCAATGAAGTGGTTCAATGACATCGCGAGCGGCTCGCAACGTATTACGCGTGATTCATCGGGCGGGACGCTAATAAACGGACGATCTTGCGTCCGCGCGCGTAATTGTTTTCCAGGCAGCGGGACGTTGCGTCACGCGCGCGCGACGCGCCGTGCTATTTCTGTTGCTGCTGCTGCTGCTGCTGCTGCTGCTGCTGCTGTGGCGCTGCTGATGCGCGCAGCGTGCCTCCCTCATACCTGTCGCTCACCACCTCCCCGTCTCGTTACAGGTACAGCGAGAGCCTCGGATTCGACAGCTTCACGCTCGCCCTTAACGAGAGAGACGAAGCGTCGCCACCGCCGACGCCGCCAGTTAGGGATGCCTCCAGTCTCAAGGGCGTTTGCTACGGCCCGGGACACGAGAAGTATCCGTCGTGGCCGAGCGCGCCCGAGCGACACCCCGACGAGGATATTCACAGCTCCGCACACAGCGGCTCGCATCGCTCCAAGTCCTGGACCGACCATACCAACTATCCGAAGGAGAAGCCAGCCCAGTACACCAGACCACACACGAAGAGGCCGAATCCTGCGTTCACGCAGCAGGTATACCCTCGATAAGAGTCTTCCCCTCCCTCTCGTCTGAGCTCCTCGGGTCGTATTGCTTTTACACACGAGAGGTAGCGCCGTCGCGGCGGCGTCGCGATTCCCTGCGATTTCGAGACGCGCGTATCGTCGTTTCGCGCGCGCGGCTCTTTCTCATTCTTGTATTTGTATATTCTTGCATTGTTACTCTCGCTTTTTCGCTCTTCCGTCAGCTCTCGATCTTCAATTTCGATATTAATCCCGACGACGAGAGTCTCAAGATGCCTCCGTGGGGAATTTGACGCGACATTTTTTCACACGTCACTGGACACGTCTACTGCGTGCGTGCGAGCGTGCGTGCGTGCGTGCGTGCGTGCGTGCGTGCACCTTCGCCTCGCGCGTCTGGCGAGAATAGCCAGACGCGCGACGATCGATGAAAACGAACAACGAAGTGCGATACGGGCGGCTGACGAGAAGCGCTTGCTCTACAATCCTCGACGATCGAATTACACTTGCGAAAGGCTTTGAGCTCCTTCTGCCACTCTTGCTCCGTCGCTGATTTGCATCAGCCCGATTCCTCTCGCGATTCAGCCTGCCGGCCGCGCTGTACGTAGAATTCGCCTTGTCAGCCGCACTCGATTGTCTCGCCGCTTGTGAAATCGAATCTCGTTTACATGACGTCCGAGTGGCCCGGCGGTGTTAACGAGCCACGAGGTGAGCTTATCGCTGCGCGATTTCCTCGCCCGCGCGTTTGCACGTCCCCGTCGCCGTCGCCGCCGCCGCCGCCGCCGCCACCATCCACGTGTTCAACAATTAAGGGAGCCATACATGAGCGCGAACGTGCCGTGTCGGGGGAATCGGGATCACCGCGGGGCAAGACCTTGGCTGTACGTATTGTGTGCTGCACCCTAAAACGCCGCACACAATTAATCTCCCACACCACCCGCACACCCTCCTTTCTCTCGGTGACATAATCGTCGTCGCCGCGCTACCGGCTTCCCCAGAAGTGGGTCGTGGTATTTCGTCGCTCGGTCCGACCCGCATCGCGCCTTAAATTCCGGTATGTACGGTAACTCCGGGTGTCGCCAGACGAGAGGGAAGAAAGGATCGGAGAAGGATGATGCCGGAGCGGCCCGCGTCTCGCTCTCTTTTTCCGAGACCGGACGCTTGGAGCTTCGTGTTAGATCATCGCGAGAGTCTCCGTCGCTACGACCGCACGCAATTAGTCACCCTCTAGTCCCGATACGTATTTCGAGATCGGTTCTTTTCTGCTTTTCTCGTCCTCCCCCCTCCTTACTACCCCGGGACGGAGGGGCGCGCGTGAGAGAAAGAAAATTGTATTAAGCTCGTGAGTCATATAGAATAGGTTCGGTCGGAGGCTGAGTCGTTGCCCGCATTACGGGCGAATGCATCGCCGTGCGCCGTACGAATATTTCTCTCGATCGGCGCAAGGATCTGTGAGATATCTTATACGTTATCGTTCTTTATCTCTCTCTCTCTCCCTCTCTCTCTCTCTCTCTCTCTCCCTCTCTCTCTTTCTCTCTCTCTCTCTTTCTCTCTTTCTCTCTCTCTCGCGCGCGCGTGCGCTACCGTCCTACTTTCGGCCGCGCGCTGCTCCATCCGCGAAGCGGGATGCGAGAATGAACACCGCGCGATAAAAGTGCGGCCGACGCGCGAGCGCTACTTTCTCGATACGTCCGCGATACACGTTCATAGTTTCTATTACACTGCAAAAATTCAATATCGCAGCTGAAGACGGTAATGGAGCGTTGCGAGAAGATCCCGGCCGAGACTTACGAGTCACGCAACCGAAGTAGCGTCGAGGAAGAGCCGAGGCTGTGGCCGCGCGTAGACCGCGAGGGCAAGGCTCTGGGGGACGCGGAGTACGTGGTCCCGTCGCCGCCCGAGCGGGAACAGCAATCTCAGACTTTGAGTCACGCTGACCTGGAGGCTTACGTAAGGAGCTACCAGGACCCACAGGTGTCTCAGGTGAGGAGAGGAGCTCGAGCGAAGGGGCGCGGCGGAGCGTCGACGCGACGCTCGATGATCGCTTAGTTTCTTTCTTTTTCTCTCTCTCTCTCTTTCTCTCTCTCTCTCTCTCTCTCTCTCTCTCCTGCCCTGTATCGCGCTATCGCACTCACATCGCGCTTCCTTGTTCGTCAGGTGGACCTCTACCGCGAGACGACGTTGACGCAAGCGGGCCTGGAGGAGTACACGAGGGTGCAGCATTCTCAGCAGGCGAGCTACGCGCAGTCCGAAGGGTATCACAGTTACGTGTCCAGCGTGGACTCCACGACGAACACGCCGTTTCTCGACAGGTGAGAGAGAGAGAGAGAGAGAGAGAGCGAGAGAGAGAGAGAGAGAGAGAGAGAGAGAGAGAGAGAGAGAGAGAGAGAGAGAGAGAGAGAGAGAGAGAGAGAGAGAGAGAGAGAGAGCGAGAGGGCGATCGCTTTTGCGCATCGGCTCATTAACATTGAAGCGTTTCGTAACGGTGTTCGCGACGCTAACGAGAGATTACGCTTCTTGTCAGATTGAGGAGAGACAGCGAGGCGGTGGCGCAAAGGCCCGTGGCTTCCTGGGAAGACACCTCCCGAGAGGGAAGAGACAGCGTGGTGACTACGTCCAGCGGCAGCGCGTCCAGCAGCGAGACCCTAAAGTGGCACGGCTCGATGTCGGACGTCAGCGTGTCGAGCGGCATGCCACCTCGCCAAGGGGCCTCGGATCGATGGCACCACGGCTCCATGTCGGATGTCAGCAGCGTGAACGGCGGGATCATCGGCCAGAAAGCCAGCAACGGCTGCCACGAGAAGTGGCAGAGCTCCATGAGCGACGTCAGCACGTCCGGAATGGGCCCGACGACGACGACGACGACGACGAAGGCCAGACACAGCGAGAAATGGCAACCGGACAAGTGGCAAGTAGTTTCGATGAACGACCGGAACAAGCAGTCGCAGAGCAGGCCCAGTCTGCCGGCGGTGATCAGCCATTGCGCCACGTCCACGTCGATCCACGGCGATATTTGTCATACGTCGAGCATGCGAGAGAGCAAGTGGCAGGAGTCCAATATCGACGACGATGACGACAACGAGTCGTTGAGCGACAGCAGGCCGCAGGCGAATCAGTGGGACACCTCGGGCAGAATCGAGAGCGACAAGTACGGCCAGCCGATGCCGCAGAGCCCCACGCGCCAGCAAGTGGGATCCTCCAGTCCGCAGAGCCCTGACAATTGGAATCCCATTCATGGATCGATGTCCGACGTGAGTCAGAGCAGCGGGCTTCAGTGCAGCAAGCAACTGATCGCTCACAGCGCGAGAGTGCAGACTCCGCAGAGGCATCATTCAGAAAGCGTGCTCTATCTGGATCGTGAGCGCAGCCAGCGGAAACATTATGCGGTCGGTGTGACGCAGTCGCAGGAATTCGCGCAATCCTCGAGGTATATACGTCAAACCCGTCTTTTCTGTCTCGCATCGCCTTCTCGCCCAACTCGCTCACTTCCCCGTTTGTCGCCGTGTCACCAATTAATGCGAGTCGCAACGTTCTCTTTTTCTTTTCAGAACGGCGCAGCAACCGCAGCTCTCGGTACTCGAGCGCATCAACGAGCTGGAGAAGCAGCAGCAGCAGCAGCAGCAGCAACAACAAATGCGCTACACTTACCTGGACCCGGAGAAGCGCCACAGAGTGTCCGATCCTACCCTCAAAGCGATCCAAAAGAAGGCGTTGCTGTCCTTCTACGAGAGACATCATCATCAGGCTTCGTGGCGGTCGGAGCCTCAGCTGGCCCAAGGGCCCGCGCCGACGCCCCACAGTCCACCGCCGCAGCCACCTCCTCGACCAAGACCAGCCTCGTCCAGAAGAGCCAGCTCCGCGTCGGATTACGCCAGCGGCGCGTGGCGGGAGAACGCTGGCAGATCGCAAACCCAGGGAAACGGCGATTTGCCGAGTCCCAAGCATCAGCACAGCAACAGTTGCGGCAGTCTGTCGACGGATCTGCTGGGCCCGGTAATAGTCGGGCCGGCGATCTCGATAGACGACTGGGTGCCCGAGAGACCGCCGAAAAAACCGCACTTGAAAAACGCCTGCAACGAACGCATGCCCAGCCCCGACTTGCCACCGCCGTCGCCGCCGACGGTCACGGAGAATGAGGTCCACGACTGCGACGATCCGCTGCCACCTCCGCCGCCCGAGCTCAGCGACGATTGTTTCGCTGAGAGTCCGCGCAAGTGCAACAGCAGCACTAATAATAACGGGAACAACAGCGTTCACCATCAGACGGAGGAAACAACAAAGATCGGTCGTGAAAGGTCATGCGAACGACACAAGTCGGAAAGACACTCCATGAAGAGATCGAAGCACAGCGGTAAAAGAGATCACGAGAAGCCCTCGACGGGCAAGTCCTCGCCGAGCTCGACGAAAACGTGCGCGCAGGAGCAGGAGCAACAGCAATTCGTGAGATCGTCCGCGGCGCTGAAGCACGTGGACTCGGAGATGGTGCTGGAGAACGGCGTGTCGGCCGGCTTCGCCACACACAGGATGGTACCCACTGGACGTTCCAGTCTCAGGTACCCCTCCACTCAGAAGCTCATGGTGAACGGCAGGATAGCGCCGACCAGACGAATATCCGAGGATAGGCCCTTCTCGTCGTCGAGGCCCCCGGCCCAATTGCCTGATCTTATATCGCAAAGATACAGCGACTCCGGCAACCAGAGGCCCGCGCCGCAAGTGCCGGTGGAGCCGAGGATCATTCGGCAGGAGTCGATGCGAGCGGACGGTACGCGCGTCGACGTGTCCGGTTTGTTGAGAAACGATTCCGGCCAGAGACTCAAGTCCTCCTCGGGCCAGAGACCCCAACCTCAAGTGCCTAAGAACACGGACAGAAGCGCCGGCAACGCGAATCCAGCGTCGAGGCCGAATTATCTGCCGGTGACGGAGGCCACGAAGAGCCCATCCAAGTACTTGAAGAGCGGTAGCGCTCACACTTTCTTCATAGGCAGCCCCGTGAAAACGGGATACGAGGCCAGCTCGAAGCTATTCCCCGCGGACTCGAGTCCGCAAAAGTACCACGAGCCGCCGAAATACGTTCCTAACCATCACCAACGTCCCAACGACGTGACGCAGAGGAATTACTACGCCTTGCCGCCCAAGTACGTTGACTTGCCGAAGCAGAAACCTCAGCCGCAGTGCCCGACCGACAGGTACAGCAGCTCGGGCTCCTCCAGCTCGCCGCCAACGCCGCCGCCTTTAGCGCCGCGACAGAACACGCCCGGCAGGAAGTCGCTTCCGCCTCCACCGAGACCCGCTCCGTTGCACGCTCATCAAGGGTAAGTTTAGTCGCACGTTGCCTGCCTCATCATCTTGCCTCGATCTTGCTGCCGTCACGACCTTGCTGCACGACGCACGCGGCATCGCGTTCCGCGGCACCGCGGAAAAAGCCAGTATTTTATTGCGCCTAATTCACAGTTGCTTCGAGCTGTATAATACAAATAGCGTCCGCAATACTTATTGCACGTCCCGTGTTATCCAAAACCGGCGGTCGTATAAATCCCGACGCGGAACGTTTACAACCGTAAGCGCCACCGCGACGTAAATTACGTCATTGGAAGACTCAATAGCCACATTCACGTCCTCATAAAGTAGAGCTGTAAAATGGTCCATTGCTAACATGGAAATCGCAAAGCGAGTGAGAAGGAGAAAGGAGTCTTAACGAGCCGCCGGACGAGAGGAAGAGAGAGAGAGAGAGAGAGAGAGAGAAAAAGGGAGACGTTTGGTTTTTGCCACCACTCCAGAGAGCGGTGTCGCAAACTCGTAAATCCCGGAGGATCGCGGCGGTACCACCACCGATAGTTTGGCCAACTCTCGGATTATCCGGGGTCGTTAATTATCTTCTCGTTTGCTCGCTCGAGCGAATCGCATACATTACCATGGGATTATCATTGCGAATCTAACGGTACCCATTAGCGGACTGATTTACGAGCGTGTGACTTTTCCTGAAATACGTGCAGCGCGGCTCTTGAACGCTGCAAAAACGAACGAGTCGACCCTCTGACTTGGCCGAACCTTCCGAACGACGTGGACGTGTACGCCGCGGCACATCGAGCACGCCGACAGATTTACCGCCAAATTGCGCACCCGTCCACGCGGAATCGACGATGATTCCGCGCCGCGAGAAGGGGGAGGGGAGGGAGGGGGAGAGAGAGAGAGAGAGAGAGAGAGAGCCGCGCCGTTCTCGCGTCGAAGGTAAGGTCGCGCGGCGTGAACGCTCTCGCGAGAACGTAGACGAGTCACGCTCGTTGAGCTCGGGATCGGCGTATGCGACAACGAGTTATTAAATTCCAACGAGCGCACGCGCGACGTCGAACGCATTCTCGAAAGGCGAGAAGTCGGGCAAGGACGATTTCGACGCGGCGCGAAATCGTGTTATTGTGTGAAAAGCAGAACAAGACGTCTCTCTCTCTCTCTCTCTCTCTCTCTCTCTCTCTCTCTCTCGCGAGGGAACGACGACGACTCTGTGACCCGCCGCCTCTTTATTCATCGATCCATGATTTTTCGGGCCACGGAGCACGCGCGAGGACTGTCAAAAAGACCAAGAGAGACAGAGAAAGGTGGGGAGCGTCCAAAACGGCGCTGGCGGCGCGCGAATAGAAAGACATACCATGGCGTCTTGGTAGTCTACATAGTGCAAGACAAGAAGAGAAAAAGAAAGAGAGAGAGAGAGAGAGAGAGAGGAAGGGAAGGAGGGAGGGAGAGAGGGAGGAAAGGAAGGAAGGAAAGAACGAACAACCGAACAATCGGCCGATAGTAATTGCACGTCGAGCCAAAGTACCGCCGGCTTTTCCAGTTGGGATACAGGATGTAGGCTCGATCTCACGGGGCGATAACTCTTTTCACCTTTCTTTTGTTTCCTTCTCGCTCTGATTGGGTGACTACCTGCCACCTGCAACGCACGAGCGGTCGTCCAACTATCCGATACGCACGCCGGCGAAGATGTTCCGAACGTACGACACGGTTCGACGAACGAACATTTGACTTGCGCGCCGACCTTCGACAGGAAGGAGAGATTATCTGGCTGAAGAGAAGAGTGCCAGAACCGTTGCGAACGTTCCTCCTTCTTCTCTGTTTTCCTCTTTGCTCCTCCCTCTGTCTTTCTGTTTATCTGTCTGTCTCTCTGTCTCTCTCTCTCTCTCTCTCTCTCTGTGTGTGTGTGTGTGTCTGTCTCCCTTTAGCGCTGGATTGCGCTGGATATTCGAGAGCGCGACGGTTTAACCTTTCGAATAAACCAAGCCACGAGGCAGAAATGTCAGAAAAAAAGATTACCGTGTGCCACCACGGGCGTGTTGGCCTGCTCGTCGGTGCTCGATCATGTTCCCCACGGCGCTGGGCGATGGATAGCGAGGTGCGGCACCACGGAATAATACGCCTCGCGATAAATTAATAACGAGCCCTGACAGTGATCTCATATTTATGCCGACATTTAAGCGATGTATCCTTGCCAACGTTTTCATTAATTGTGCAAATTTCGCGCTCTCGGCTTGGCTCTCGGATAGCAGGAGGAGGGATTGTTTCGAAATCGCGGGCGCGCGCGCGCGCGACCTCGCGACTCACGACCTCGCCTCGCCGCGCGGCGGAGAAGTTACGTGACGCGATAAACGCTTTCCTTTTTATCTGCTTTTTTTCCCCTCCTTCGCGAGCACTCGCAAAAATCGACGGGAATGTCCGTGTCGGCCGGCGTAACGAGCAGCTTTCGCGCTCGCGCGCGCGCGCGCCCCTTTAATTGCGATTGAGATTTATGCAAGTAGCGGACATCCTATCCCCTTCTCGCTGTCGCGGCCGATCGCCGGGAGTTACGCCGGCGACCCGCGGCGTTATCGCTAATCCTCGTTACGCGAAACACGAATCGCCAAGTCGTTTTCACTTTTCGTCGCGTCGCCTGCGCAGGAGCGTTGCACCTGTGGCGCGATAATTGGCCCGTGAATTCCTCCCGGCCCGAACGTTACGGGCCCGCGCGATCTTGTCCTCCCCGGGAGAGTTCGGAGGATCGATCCGCAGGGATTTCGCGCCGCGAGACGACGGTCACAAGGGGCGATGCGGGGAGAGAGACATTGATTTGCGAGGCGCTCGCGGCGACCGAGACTCGAGCGGCGTGTCGCACTTAACCTCGTTTTAATATGTGGAGTATATTAATGAAAAAATTCGCCGTTCAGCCGGAGAAATGATTACACAGGTAGACGCGCCATCGAGCTGCGCAGAGCAACGCGCGAAACCCAACAGCTGCTCTCCGCTCGAACGAAATAAATCTCCTTTTACCGTATCGCACCTGCAGCCGCACGCACACGGCAGCCGTGCGCAACCGCGACCTCGAACGACACCGGGGTAGTCGACACCCGGCGACGACACGCAGTATCGTTTACACCGGTCTCTCTCTCTCTCTCTCTTGTCGTCCGTCGACATCTCCCGCTTTCTTGTTACCCTTTCTTGTAGCCGAGGACGATATTCCTAGAGAATACCGACCGAAGAGGGCGGATTCGCGAGGAGAAGCAGGAGGACGTATCGTGTTGGCCGATCGTTCTTAATTAAATGTTATCTTAATTAAATGCGTATCCTTCTCTTTCTCGCTCGGTTATAATCAATCGTAATACCCGATAATGAGAGGGGAAAAAGCTACGCGTCTACGCTCATCGGAGCGAGCGTGAGAACACGACATGTTCCTATCGATGACTCTTATCTGCAGGACGCTCGATATTCTCGTAGGTGCGGTCGCGCAAAAATGCACGCTCCGGTTGTTGCGTAACGCGTCATTTCTCGGACACGGGGAGGGAAAACGAGAGAGCAAAACGATAAAACGGCTGGCGTTTGTCGGAATAATTGCAACGGGGATGCGATAAATCGTTCCGTTCCACCAGTTGTGCGGGCATAAAAGCGGTGAAACTCGAGTTTCGCGGGACGCGAGCGCGTTGCACCATCTCGTCGGCGATCGAAAATCGACTGCCGGTCGGTCGATAATGTTATGAAATTAGAGCGGATTAGATCCGTGTTGTTATGTCGCGCGTCATGTCGGCGTGCTGCCCGCCACGTCGTACTCCGCGCGTACTCGCGCGGCTGGCTGTTGTGACCGATAACTCGAAGCGCGAGACCAAACGCCAACAATCGGCGCGGGTTTCTTCGAAGGCGCTTTTTGCGCCTTCGCTCGCGTTTTGCGCAAACGGCGACGGCGACGGCGCGGCGACGCGGGTACATTGAAACGGGGAAAAAAGCCTGCGCGCGCCTCGCAACGTCCTCCTTCGCGGCTCCGGACTCGTTTGCCGCCTCGATCGGGAACCGGGTTAATCGTATGCGATCGCGGCTAATTCCTAACGCGCTTAGCAGCGATAGTGGTAATACCAGTATAGTATCCAGATTCATAATAACGGGACGATTAACATTCGCGAGGGGAAAGTGTCGCGGTGGAATTCTTCAATTTCGCAACAAGTTGCGCGACAAGTGTGAATGGCGCTTGATCGATAGTCGTAGTTCGCGATAACGCGAATGTGTTTAACTGGGAAATATACTTGCTCGTCGCTTGCGATCCTCCGCTGCGAATCGAGTGCGAGCGAATTTTTTATCGCGAGAGAAAACGCTGGAGCATTAGCTCGTGAAACTGTTTGATGAGCGTTTGTTGAGCGCGCCCACAAATCCACACACGTTGCAAGTGACGAAAAATTTCAACAACAGCAGTTTGGGCCACTCGACGTACCACGATGCGGATTATTCGCCGCTCGAGTGCGGAGAATCGTGAAGCAAAGCTTCGCGCGTAATGTGCAACACCGGACGTTTAATTGTGTGTACAAAACTGTCGCTGCGATTTCGTGCCGTCGGAGGAACATCATTACGCTGGGATTTACTTCGACGGGCTACCGAGCACGTCGTCCTGCTTATGACTTACGGCGACTCGAGGAAACGGCCGTGACTCGAGGAAGCGCAAGTGCAATGACGACGTGACAGCGAACGACAAACAGCCACGGAGACAATAGCCAGCGACTCGAGACCGGACGACACCGGACACGAAATCACGGAACCGTCTCGGGGAACGGTATCTCTTCGCGACGACAGTCGTCCGCCTTACGACCGAATGATTAACACAAATTGTTCTTGACTTTACCGGCCAGCCTGTGCGGCAAGAAGCATGTTCCACTTCGCATGCACAGTCGCGATGAAATGGAGAGAAGAAACTCATCTGTCCGCGCACGATATTCCGCTCGGTTACGCAATCCGAGAGAAACTTGGCGATTGCATCGCCAGATTTCCGCCTCCCTGTTTTTCCTCGCATTTTTCGCCCCGACATCAC